TTAACTTAACCTTCACCTGCAGCTTATCATTGCTGCTAATGCTGAATGATTTTGAAAACTTTAAAATAAGTAAAAAGAACTTTGAACAGCTGCCTACCATCTCAAGTGTTTAGTTGAATAAAGCTTACTTTTCCAGAAATCTGAATTCTACTGAGGTACTTTATTACTTCTTGTTTTGACATATTAAACTTTATCAATCCGAAGAGCATTTCATGTACAAAAACAAAAATGCTGCCCACCGTAATGACTGCTTGTTTAGGTGACCAAAATTCCCCTGATCTAACCTTAGTCCACCTAGAGTTCCCTACGCTTAAATGCATCTGATGTGTAGTATTTCTGAGAATCGGATTTCAGTTTCGGATTGAGAAGTGAAAAAGTTAAATCGTTCAATAAGATGACACACTTTCGCTGAATAAAGTGACCTGGTATAACCGGAATCATCACGATTTCTAGAGTTACATGACCTTAAGTAGGATAAAGGTTATACAAGTTTACAGGTTAAGCTACGAATAACCGCAGTGCATAAATTCCCCAACTGCTCACTGATAGTTTTGGATGCTTAAGATGTTAAAAACGTCCAATTTATTCCTTCACACTCCCAGTGGAACACAGGGCTTCTATCTTGAACTATAAGCTTTCATTAGCAGTAATTTTGATTTTAAGGAGTGGATTTGCTAGCTTCATGCAAAACCTCCCATCTTTGGGTCCCATCTTCACTGGGCTTGCTACCGGCTAAACGAGGTTTAGGAGTGAATTGGTCGAAGATCGAACCACGGACAACTTTCGTGATTGGGGAACGTCCTGCTATCGTACCACTGACACGCATTATTAAACAGCCTGAAATCAAAATCACGGTGGTGCAGATATAACTACTTAAGAGCATAGTTTAAACATTGTAACAGCGTGTAATTCCATACTACATAAGTTCGACTGATGTAACACACACGCACACATTGGCACTTGCTTTACAAGGTGAGTTAATAATTTCTGTGAATGTCTTGTGCTCGAAATGTCATTCACTTATCAATGCGGTGTCACTGTGTGTTATAGCAGATAAACTTACCCAATATAGAAGTATTTAATCTTCATCTATTACTCTGTCTACAGAGTGCATGTTGAAGAAAGATGATGTTTGAATAACACTGCTCCTTTTACATTAGCTGTTTAGAAGTTCTGTCGGAAAACCTAAATCTGTATACGTTATACATGAACGCTATTAGTCCTACCTGCATATCAATTTGATTTTATTATTTAGTGGTCTATTCTTTACCACAGGTCACAATGATTACCAATAATGCACATACATACATAAAGCTCAAAGTAAAATACAAATTACAAACAAAATGGGTATTATATTTATACGAAAAGGAACTGGATTAGAGGTCCCACTATTGCCTCTATCAAATGCAGAACTATAAATAAAATATTTCAGTCAGGTTAAAATTGCTCACCATAGAACTGATTTCAACCTTAAGCTGATTCAAGATCTTCTGTAGAAATTGGAATGAATTATATTTACCAAATCATAGGCAGCAGTAAAAGCAATTAATCTAAATGAACTGGCGATCATGTTTTGCATCACACTACAAAGTTTTTCGATCAAAATCTGCGTTCAGTGCATAATCGTGTTTGATCTCAGACTAAGTTATTTGAGTTTATTTTAAAATAGTCAGCTGAATAGGCTGATATCCATTGCAATGTTATATGACTTAGACAGGTACTCATCATGAAGAGTCTCAAACACTAGAAAATAATTCAGTGGACTGTTGAGTCACTAGACTCATTTCGTATCAAACAGCTGTCATCCTTCAAATTTTGTTTTCATACTGTTCTCATAGTTTAATCTAAATAATCGGTTGATGTCAGCTGCTTAAATGAAATGTCTATAATGGAGTTAAAATACTGGAAAGCAAAACTTTTAGTCGAAAATTTATTTAATTAGTCTAAGTACAACTAGTTAGGTAGTTAACGTTTAGTCCTTTTACGATATGTAATGTGAGCGATTTTTTTCCTCTAAAAGAATAACTTGCTTGAAAATTAACAAATATATTTTTTTGTTTGCATTTGACAGTCTCACAACCACTCAACTGTTTCTAACCAGCTCACTAATGTCTATTTCTGAGTTACGCTGTATTTCATATATGTGTGTTGTGTCTGTGTGTGTGTGTGTGTTTATAAACGCCTGCTCGCTGTTCTACTCCATTGAGTTTATGCGTCAACTTTAATAGTATAACTCTGCTGACATTTTAAATATTCAAACAATCAAATATACATCAAAATCAGTAGCATGAACATCACTTTACGTATTTTACTCCACCCAGAAATGATTTTCTCAGTTAATTATAACAATAGCCGTCGTTTATTAAATCCTGTAAGGCTGAAACGTTGAAAAAGTCTTGGCAAACTACAACTGTATCCGTTAAGTTTTGATGTGAATTGTTAGTTTTGTTTAGTTGTTTTCAGTCTCATAGGCCAGTCAACCACTGGGTCACAAACGTTGTGGACAGCATATTTCAGCATTGACCAATATGAGATACCTTCTACGGTCAAAGTTTAACAACAGTTAAGAAACCTTCGTTTCATGTTGTGCGTATGGGTTAGAATACACAATAATTAGGTTAATGCTCCGATATTTTCAAACGAAGTAACCGCTTACATTTTGGCCTAAATTTTTTTTCCTTCACGTTCCCAGTGGAACATAGAGCCTCAAGTGAGGCCCTAGCCACTAGCTTGCGAGCTAGTGGGTTGAAATTTCTGTAGCAGTGTTTAATTTTACAGGATGGGGTTGCTAGCCTCATGCCCAACCTTTCCTCTTTACCAGCATTATTTCTGGCTTAGCGAGGTAAAGGAGTGCGTCGGCTGCGAATCGAACCCGGACCATGTGCATGGTCGGCGAGCGTCCCAACCGTTGTGCCACTGAAGCACCTAAATTATCACCAGAAATTGATTCCTGTCAGTCAAAGAAAAACAAACATCTTCGCCGGTACCAGCCTTCTCCAACAGACTAGTTAAAAAAGTACGATATCATGAGAGGAAACATTTAAGGTTTCACCAAGAGTATATAACCTACTGTTTCAGACATCGTTTTTTTTTAAATAGCAGAACCTTAGCATGAATTAATGTCACCAAGTGAGCAAATCTGTGCTGACTAATGAAATGAAACAGACATGCACTTTATCTTTCTTATCTGTAGTCGAAATACTAAGAGAGTGGTCACGTGGTGGTGATGCTAAGAAGTTTTTGACTGTAATCCTGATTTATGCATATGTGAACTGCAATTCATTTGATTTCAACTGTATTATCTAATTTCATCCGACTTTATCTATAATAGTATCTTAAAAAATCCCTTTTAATTTATCTCAAATTAGGGGTTGTATATTAATATAGTCACTCATCTTGTTATACTCAACTCATTACTTCTTTTCAAATCCCATGTACTTATGACTTACCTTAATAAATATTACACAAGAAATCACTATCAGTTCTCTTTTAATGAAGTTAACTGGTTTTGTAAAGCATTGGTATATGTACTACACGACCGATGATGATTCCTCAATTGAAAGATGAAGTATCTACCACTTCAACTGAGGTTGTAGAGTGAGTTATATTGTCCATTGCTCTAGAAACTTGATTTTTTGTGCTCGAGAACGTCTACTTGTATGGTTAATTAAGTGTGTAGTTAGAAACATTTATAGCTTAGTGGTAGAATGCTCGCCAATCACGCATGTGATGATTAGGCGTTAGATCCCGGCTGACGCACTCCCTTACCTCACTAAGCCGATGATAAGACTGGTAAAGAGGAAAGGTTGAGCATAGGGATGACCACTTCACCCCGTAAAAATAAAAACCACTGCTATCGAAACCTAATAGCTCTAGCTTGATGCACTGTATTCCACTAGGGACGCAAAGGAATAAAATAATAATGATAATAGTAGAAACACAAATAGCTCCATATTGTAACACTTGATCTACACCCGCCACAAAGCCAGCATTGAAGAGACCTTCTCTGTCATCTGTCGGATACCAAATTAATTTCTAAAAACATCCAGGTACCGCAGACTCCAAACAACAGAGGCTATCGCGATTCACCCTAAATGACCGGTGCTCTGTCGGCAGAAGAAACAAGTCCAACCGCTACTACTGCCATGGCCTTTAATGGAGACTATAAATTCATGAATTTGTACTATTATTTTTCTTAATTTTTCTGATATACACGCCATTGTTATTTTGATGCTATTGAAATGTAATCCATTGATATTATTACTGATTCAGTATTGTTTAAACAACATTGATGTCGTTAACAACATTAATTAATTCACTATTCGGTGTAAATAACTGTAGAACCTGATGATGAATTTATCGAAAAGAATATTCTTTTTTCAATAACCCTTCTTCAGAAAATTTTATATCTTTAAATGCACTAGACTATGGTTATCAACCTTGCCTTTCGTCATAGGGAAAAATGAATCTTTTCATGTATATCAAATGAAAATAATTCAATAATTTAATTCAATTCAATAATTTAATTTCAAGTCAGTGCTTTTATTTGGTTCAGAGACTTGGCTTACGCTACAACATAAGTATTTTCAACAAGCTTCAGACTTTTGTTAACACCTATTTTTGCTTCATACTGGCCATTTGCAAAGGGTAAGGATCAAGGAGAATCGATAATGAACCAACCAAAGACATATCACACAACAAAATATATAGGAGGAGATGGAGATGGAAACACTCTGAGGAGACCGTTGTATGACAGAATGGTCGTCGAATGGAACCAGAACAGGCACCCATGAGTGACATGGAGGAGATCGTGCGAAGCGAGGACAAAAGATTATGGGCAATCGTGGACCCAGTTAGGAGCAACTCCAGAGGGCAAGATGAAGTGGAGATGTGGTGTTGAAGCCTTATGTTCCCAATGGAAACTAAGGGGATAATAATGTGGTATAATATAATAATACGAAGAGTGCAAGAAAATTACATTAACATTTGTATCAGCTTACAAAGTGTCTTCCAGATAGTAATTCTAGTAAACGTAATAAAATTCTTCCATCTCTTAAATCATTGTATAATTCTTTGACTAGATATGCATGTCCGGTTGAATGAGATCTATGTGTGCACGGTGATGACTGCCAGGTATGCAGTGATGGAGAACGTGGCATTGATGTATTGAAGGATCCACTATAACATGTCCAATTGTTATGCGGATCATTTGGATAAGACAAATAGGTAAGAAATTCTGATGGGTACACTCCATCTAATTGAGCATTAATCCAATTAGTAAATAAACTTTTCTGTATGAGATCACGTTCGTCTACAAAAACAGTGAAAGGAAGATACAAAAACATTACTACTAGAGATAATACAAAAGAAATAATCTACTAATCATGTACACAATCAGATTGAATAGACAACCATATTTGTACCTGCAAAATGAAATTTACATTGTATGCAGTAATATCACACCTAAAATACAGGGAAGTACATGATTTTGAGCAACTTCCTGTTGTATTTTTGTTGGGCTATTGAAAGCGACCACTAAGATACCAAAGACCTAGGTTTCGTTCATGTTAGAGGCTATCAGCAACACACGTCTGCCATCTCGTACAAATCTAAACTAGAACCATCGATTTTATCGAGTTTCCAGACACTCTTTGCTGAGGAGTGACAGCCGACACAAAACATAATTCTAAAGCTTCGTGTTGACTGCTGTCAACCAACTTACATCAGATAAAATTGCATCACTATGTTACATCACCTAAAGTTGGTTGTCACATTGCAAACTTGACTCGTAGGATTCAGTTAGTACTGACCCTAAGGACTAAACCCATCAATGCATATCCACTTTCGTTAAGGTACAGTCATTATTTTAAACAGCAATTCACTTTAATTTTTGACAGCTTCCTTTGAATGGGATTTACTAAAGTACTTGATATTAACTAATTTTTATTCTATTTATGCATATTACCATCCGCAAATATGGCGTGATGTGCATAGTACTAAAAATTCACTCGGATATCATCATTTGAATGAAACTTTCTGGAGAAAAACGCTTCAGATCATTTGATCTTAATGCTATGATGTGACGAAAAAACATTACCGTTATTGACATTTGGTATTCCTCAGCTGACGTGTTATGAGCATAGTTTCAACAAGGCTTCATTTCAAAAACCCAAAGTACTCAAATCACAATGTGACCTGCTTCACGATTAAAAACAGAACATTTGGTTTAGTACGACACATAATAGTGATTGATATGAGAGTTGGAGATCATTCACGTCAGCTACCAGCGTTAGCCACTCAAATCAAAGTGATCTTAATACCAGGTTGCTGTTTCGTTCGTTATTAGCTAAAAGCACCAGGCTTAGAGAGCAAATCTATTCGTATCATGTCAGTTCACATTAGCTCATATCTGTGAGTAGAATGCAAGGTGTTAAATAAGTATTACTGTCCATTCTTAACTAGAATTTTCAAATAAATACACATGCTCGTTATTCTTTCAGTCTTTTGGCGACAAGCAGTTATCCACGACTGAACTAGAACATAATTTTCTGTCTGCCATTTCATGAGAAAACATCAGAAAAGCTGTCTTGTTTCACCTTTATTTCACTGGGAAATTAGAACTTAGAAGCACGGTTTCATTTTGTTACCAAAGACTAACGAAAAGACAAAACTATACCTGGTAAAATTCATATAGCTTTGTGCAGCTAACCGCCGAAAAGAATTTTTTCACAAAACCATTAGCACTAATGAAAAAATGCATATCTTGCGGTCTGTAATTTCATCCAAACCAGAGGTATTCAGATTGAAAAGAACTCTAAGTGAGTGATAAAATCTTTAGGTAAACAATGCTATCTCATCCCATAACCGACGTCATCCTACCCCGGAATATCATATTTTCAAACTTCTAGACACTGTGGTTGTTCCACTCATACATTTTACTGTCTGATAATTAAGCAGTGGATGAAAATATTCACGGTTTTCAACTGGTTCGTTCTATAGGAGTTAAGAGAATGGAATACACTTTATAAACTAATGGATAGCACTGTGTGGGATTTTTATTTCATCACGAAACATATTTAATTTGACCAGTAGCTCCCTACAGAGGATCTTTATTAACTATTACACGAAATTCTGCGGCTAATTTCAGAGAATCCCTTGCCACAATGAAGGTCAGTCAAGGAAAATTTTCATGCCCTAAATGAAAAAGCAGCGAAATTAATCACTATAAAACACCAGTCAAAAGCAGTACGTGAGCATTTTCATTAAGTCAACTCACTTTACTGGTCAGTTTATTTTGTTTTTTCGGCTTCGAGCTTCAGCTTTGAATTTTCACTAAAAGTGATGGTCTTACTAATGGCTAAGCGTGGTTCTGAAGTGTGTCTGCCACGAATCACACTTGGACCACGTAAATGGCTGGCGAACAGTCCATCAAACCACCAACGCTGCACTTGTGATATGCAATGAATTTATCTTTCTTTAAATACTGTGAAGTTATGATTAAATTATCTCAGGTGAACTGTGATGCAGGTTAATGCGAACCGGTAAGGAAGCGTCGAACTATTATCTTTAGGACCACTTCTTCTATTCTTTATTGGTCAAAATATGAAACGAATTCGCTGACTGTATTTAAAACCAAAGGATCATCAGATAGTCTGATTAGTAGCTAGCCCTTACCTCCGGTGTCTGAGTCCCTTCGATCAAGGTTGAAGTAAAACCATTTAGCAGGACAACTCTTATAATACACATAAACGAACAGTAACTCCTGTGAATTTATTTGCCAGATATTTGACACTTCCAATAATAAAAATCTACTCAGTAACGACACCTTACAAACTAAGATTGTGTCCTAATTACAGTCGTCTAGGAAATGTTTCTGGTCCATCACTAGGGATTCGTAGCTACTAGTGCTGATAACTCATCTGTGAAGTGAATTTAATGAGTGTAGAAGACCGCAGTATAAATCAAGCAACACAGCATTCAAAAGCCGTGAATTTTCAGTCAAGTAAATATCATATTGAAGTAACTAATATCGAATCAACACATGACCAAAAACTACTCAGTTTCCTCTATTTAAGTAGTATACACTGGTGAAAATACTAAATATTTTGGTGTACATAAGGAAGCAGTGAGTGAAGCCAAAATCTTAGAGTTAAATAACATTTTAATAATAATTGCAAGAAGAAAACAGACATTTCATGATTAAAGACTGATGAATAACACGTTGATTTTTCACAATAACATCATAAATCCATTAAATTATTAAAATAATGTTTAAAATTTACAGTAACACTGTTGTAAATTGAATCGGCCCTGAATTTGACTTTAATGATACAAATATCTCAAAAATAGGAGAGGGAATTCTTGATGCTTTTTTCTAGATCTATTATAGACAAATATTTTCATTCTTGTTGTTTTTGCATTCACTTATTATTCCTTTTTATACTCGTGAATTTCTAAAATTATTTTATTTTCCATTCCCAGATCAAAATGTGATAAAGTAATCTTTCCTAGGACTATTCAACTTTGATTAATATCTTAGTGGAAAAAACCACCTTCGCCTCTTGCAATAATTCAGATAACGTGCAAAAGAACAATTCCATCTCGAGATATGTAAATCGCTTAACTAAGTGAATGGAAGGACAGAAACAAAATTGAAAGTATGAATTTTCAACACGCATATTTGTATGATATAAAAATTTATTTTTTTAACAGTTGATTCTACAAAGAAGAAAACAGTTCGTGTCATCGGAATCGAGGTTTAAGTGCGACAATGAAAAATGGAACGGTATCCTGTATACCCTTGTAAACTAGATTCGGTTAGTTGATTTTCATTCATTAAGTCACCTGTAATAAATAATTCAGTGAGCTTCCACTTAACAATTGTGATGTAGAGTGAATTTTGCGATACCAATTAGAACTTTGAGAATAAGAATTCTTAACAAAACAGGAATAAAAGTGGCATTCAAATTCACAAAGTCGTTTTTGGAAATAAACTATGTTGGTTAAAGGATCCAATGAAACCCATTAAGCAAAATAATTTTCATAAGAATGAATACTGAATAAAGAGTACTCTTTTCGATAACTTCATCATCAGGCTCTACATTTATACATACATTATAGTGAATGAATGAATTAGTGTTATGAACAACATTAATGTCTAAATAACATCGGATCAATAATATCAGTAGATTACAGCTCAATAAAATCAACATAAAATAAGCTGAATGTCAGAAAAATTAGGAAAGATAATATTACAAATTCATGAATTTATAGTCTCTACTGAAGGCCAGGGCAGTAGTAGTGGCTGGACTTGCTTCTTTTGAACACAGAGCACTGGTTGTTTGAGGCGAATTGCAATAGCCTCTGGTGTTTGCAGCATGCTGTGCTTTGATGATTTTGGCAATTTATTAGGCACCTGGTCGATCACACTGGCTTTGTGGCAGGTTTGCTCCAGATGGTCCATTATCGAACTGTTAAGGGTTTTCACCACACCGGGTAAGTCAGACTACTGAAACACGAAAACCTAATAAAACTCAGATTAGTTGACCCTAACAAGATAAGAAATCTAAAGCATACCTCGTCTATAAAAATACATGCAATTACACACAACCATAAAATAGGATGGGATAAGATAATAGTTCTAAAATCTAAATAACAGGGTAGGAGGAGAGATTGATAGCGAAAGCTTTTTTATCGAGCCTACTGAAAATAACATGTAATAGAAATGATTTAATACCTAACTCGAAAATCTGGAAAATTTTACTACCCCTACGACAAATGCGAAGCAACTTAGAGAACTATAAAACTCAAGTTTTGAGCAATAAATTCTATTCAAAACGTCGCCCGTTTCACTGGGTAAGATATTCAATAAACATATTAATATGGAATTACATCCTACTAATAAACTGTGAATCTTCAGACACAAAGTATTTTTATTTTGTAAAATAATGAAAGAACAAAATTTGTGCAGTGTAAAGGTGTGTATTTCTAAGTTAAGCTGCTTATATTTTGTGTAGCGCAAAGTGATACAGGGTTGTCTGTCTCTCATTTTCTGTAATTATATTACTAATATTTAAATTTAGAGACCTTAACTCCAATTGTTTTGGGAACAGGTAGTTAGAGCAGTAATCACTTTCAGACCAAATAGTGCAGAGATTTAGTTTACCTAGAGCCATATTAGTAACCACTTCCCTTAAACCCGTAACCAGCTGATAAACAATTTCATGAAATAGTTGTAAAGCAGACAGCAGTTGCACAATTAATCAGTGCGGTAGAATTATGCACCCTAGAGTCGAAATTTCACCTCATTTC